TTAACGAAGCATTTAGGATTAAATTAAGAGTTATCAATGATGTTCTGGTCATTGTGACTATCGTTGACAAGAGTCGTCATTTGTGGCATGTGAAATTTGGAAAACAGTCAACAAATTAGTTCTCCTAAATGTCAAGAAGCAACAAAATTTGACATGCCATTGCTAAAGGTGGTCTACGACAAGCTTATTGCAAGGTAGTTGGAATGATCGATATTAAACCGCTTCAGATCAAATGATTTTATTGGTTTGTGTTAACACGAAATCAAAGTGACTGAAGTTATCTCGAGAAGATGCCTGCGTTGGTTACTGCAAGTTTTGTGCTTCGCGCCCTAATGACTCCTGATCAAACAGTGGGACTGTTTTGTTGTGTCTAATGTTTTACGAATTGCTCCAGGCTGTCTTGTGGCGCAAATAGGTGGTGCTGTTATGTGCGCATAGTCGTCATTTTTTCAATTCATGCCAGAGCCATTTCAGTCTAATCTATAACGTGCAGCCATAATTTTCACATCAGTGTAATCAAATGGATGTTAAATTATTGATGGATGTCCCTTGATCAAGAATTAACTATTCAAATTACAATTTTTGAAATTTGGGAGTGTTTAAAGTATAAAAGTAGGGTAAATAATGTTGGGTTGATAAATTTTATGTAATAATCTACATTATGGACATAAATAAGGAATGTGAACATTAAAGTCGGAATATGGTTTAATTTATTGGAGACTGAGGGATTATGTTTATAAAATTAAAAACCTGTACTTTAAAATAATTAATAATAGTAAATGGTGAGTGGGTTGACGATTGTCTTCACTGATACTTTTTGTTAGTACACATTTTTCTACCGAAAAGATTTACCTAGTAATTTAAAAATTTTTGTTTCTGGAGAGCACTGAGCCTAACATCGACATTTGTAGACCTTTTTAGCGTCTTTTGAACATAAAATAATGGCAAATAGTCGAGGATGTTCACCAACCATGCCGTAAACCGCAACGAGTTCTGAAGTAGTAAAACGGGTAACATGCTTTATGTCTACTAAGCTTTGGATTTTTGCCTAACAATGCCTTAATCACAAATAGTCGTGTTAGTTATGACATAGACTTTTGACAGGAGAATATTATTTACCGTGGTCTAAGGTTAGAGTTGAACTCTAAAAAACAAAAATAACCCCCCTTATCAACCACAATTACTGACATGAATAAATGGTTAATGGTTAAATAACACGAAAGGAACTTCATTATATCAAAGAGTCAATGTTTAAAGTTTATAGCTATCTTTTACCAAACACGAATTCTGCATTTTCCAAAACAACTCGAGTTTAATCTCTATGAGAAATTACAGAGCCCAAGAACTGTCAATGAGGTGTCTTTATCAAATTTTATTAATTTCCTTGGTTAAATTTGTCGCGAAATACCTTGCTTGGCTTGTAGATACTTACTTTGTCATTGCTGTGTTACAGATTTGGATTTTTCCTTTTGTTTTCTGACGTTTTTAGGCACGTTTCTTCCAGAAATCAGAAAGTAACGTGCAAAGTAGAATTTGGATGCAGTGGATGTTTTCCATTTCGGTTAAACTTTAAATGTTTCGTCTAGTTTTCATTCCAAAAACCGTTCTAATTTTTCGCCTAACATGCTGCAAACATTGAAAGGAAGTAACCCATTTGCAATTATTTAAGCCATCTCTCCTGGAAGCCTTTGATTCCAGTTGTTTGGTGACATGTTTGCTTACCAGTCAGTAGAGGGTAAACTAACAGGACTAGCTTCTCTTTTTTGCGCTCAATTCTCTGTTCGACATGGCCGGAAATCTTGCTTTGTGTAGTCGTTGAAACATTCACGTCTTCCTTGTGCAGTCTAGTGTTTAAGGTAGAAATATACACATGAAATGAACTTATGGGGTAAAAAGATGAGCACCAAAATTTCACCCAAATTGAATAAAGACACAGAAAGCAAATAAATTCCAACATAACCAAGGAAAAGTAATTTTGGTGAATGAGAGACCATAGACATTCTTTTATAATGACAAATTTTACTTCGGGAACATTAAAGAAATATCACTAATTTTGTTTGTTTGACAGTGCAGAAATAAAGCACTAAGAAAGAAACTGAAGTCCTCTGCCAAGGAAAACTCAACAAGCCTGTAATAAGTGGCAAGCATTCATCTTGCATTCGGTTTCACATGCTTCCTACTGCGCTTAAATTTAAATCTGGGTGAGGCATGCAGATTCAAGCAAGTCTCAGAGTTGTGCCTTCGTATTGTCAATGAAAACCAGAAGACAAAATCCTGCACATTTAATGCACAATTAAGGCCTGGAGAAAGTCACTTAAGATATTTAAACCAAGCATGAGAATTTGCACTATCGGTGGTGATTCAATACAGTCAAAGGACTCTTAAAATGCTAAAAAGTCCCATTCATTTTGTGCTTCATTGATGAACATTTGAACTAATTCGACATTTTACGGGCAAATCCACCTACCAATGCTTTGGAACCCATCCAAACACTGGATAAATATGTCAAATGCTATGGGATAAGTTTGAGGTGAATGTGGGTGAAATCCGGAGTAAATGTCCTGAAAAGCTATTTTGATTATTTAGGTACCGAATCTGCTTACTCTTGGCAGTCCATAGATTGGGCATAAATCTCATTCGATTAGGCTAGATATCGCAAAATAAGATTAATAGCTTGTGGTTTAGTACCGAATAATTACTATGTAACAATATAAATTAAACAACAAAGATTTAACGCAAGAGGATGTTTTTTAACAAAAACAGAAGTCTAAACGAATAATGAATTTTGAAATTCACTGGAGAGAATTTGCAGTTTTCAGAAAACTTTATTGAAATATTGAGAGCCTAGATTTTAAGAAAACTGTCATAAAGTCTTTAGAGGGTCCACTTTAAGAATTAGCTCAATTTGTTCACTGGTTCGGCCTATACTTTGCAACATAAACTGTAGTTACTTAATTCATAGTCTGATTTTTATTGTATCTACACAGAATGGTCAATTAGACAATCGGAAAACATATGTTGGCCTTTCGTGAATGTAGGCTTCTAACACTACAAAAATGTCATTAATGGCGTTGTCAAATTTAATCTGAAGTAATAAAATACCTGCCGCCTATGATTTCACAATCGCCTTGAAATCGTTTATTATTTATTACTTGCCACATATTGCAAATTATGCGTTGTATAGACATCTTACAATGGTCAAGCATGTGTTGAACGCAAGTTTAATGATTGTCGCATGGCGCTATAAGATAATTTTAAGCAAGTACAAACTACGACAGTTCTTTTCATGAATCCTGGGCTGATGCTGGTTATTAAAAACTAAAAGGAGGATCCCAAATGCAGTTCATCATAATGAAAACCCATGTTTATGAAAATTACGTAACCTTATCACCAAATTGACTTTTGACCCATTTTTTCCTAATACGAATGCTCCGGTTATTGTACTTGATAAAACACATTAATCTAAGCTCTGTATGATGTTTACTAGTTTATGTTAAAGCCAAAAAGGGAATTTGAAGTATGTGGTCTAGTAGACAATCTATTTTGAGCAATTTACAAAGCTAAGTATCTTAAATCAACAATATTCAAATATAAAATTTGCGATAGTTGCTATACAAATCAAAGCTGCGACAAGAACAAATGCCATAGAGATAAGCTAGCATTAACCTGTACGTCTAAAGTGACTGCATGAAATAAGTGAATTACAATTACGTTAATTAATGATTAGTTGAATGCCCTATCTTAATCAATGCCTTCAAACGGTTACTTTCGTGTAAACTGAGGCACATCATCTTCCTACCTTGCAGGAACAGGGCCACGGCAAAATTTATTGAAATGAACCGAAGTGTGGTCGTGGCGTTGCTTTGATGTTATCTGCTTTCTCCCACCGCAGGTGCATCATGAATTAGTAATTGCACCAACTGGTAGCCAAAAAACGCTGAAAATGTTAAATGATTCTTTAATAGCTTTCGCGAAAAGGCATAGTTCAGATTGAGACTTAAGCATGGTTCACAGTCAATTTCCACAATTTACAGTTGTAATTGAATGCAAGCATCTCATTTAAATTGATGAATTACTTTCTAATAACACGGAGCTGAAGACTGATCGACGAGTTTACGCAATGTTTTAATGCAAGTTCAGTCAAAAATAACTCCTAGTGGTTTTGACTCAGCAACCATTTTTTCGTCTTTTGCCCAGCCAAATGCCAATTTCAGCATAGGCTTACATAACTCTCTGTGCGCTAACATCCAGAATTCCGGGTAGTTGAAAAATTTTCTCAATAATTAGCACTGGTGTGTGTAATACTTTCATTAAATATGTAAAAAGTGAAGAAACTAAAATTAAATTATTATGATTCTTCTTGTCTCTTAATATTTTAGGTTTTTGGTTATGAATTGCCTTTTATTAATTTATAAAACTTTGTCAAATGTCAAAAACATGCAGAGCTTTAACAAGATTTTCAACCTACGATGGAACGTAACTCCAGTGTTGAGTTTTGATGAAACAGCAAACAGCCTCGTATGAACACTTGGTTTTTGCCTTGCATAAATGTGTGGTTTGCTTATTTTTTTAAAGAAATAATGCCTATAAACCGCGTTTTGTAATTTTATCGATGGAGCATGAGAAAGCATGCAAGAAAGCAAAGCATTCACAAGTTTCCACTTTTACTTTATTATGTGCCAATTTTATGTCGGACTTCTTGATTTAAATTCATGCTTGTCATCACAACAACCTTTAAATTTTATCGACATTACACACCCTACTGCTCATCACTAAATCATTTTAATGCCCTCTCTGGGCTGTAAAATGAGAGTTCCGTGTCACTGCACCCATCTTTCTGAAAAATACCCTTAACCAATCACCTTTGGATTCTGGGAATTTTAGCATTGGACACTTATGAACCAATAAAAACGGCTGCTTTTCCCCGTTTAAAGGACATTCCGCCGTGAATCAGACTTTGGTTTTGGAGTTTTTGAGATGTAATATCCCCAATAAACGCAATGTCTTCAAGTGACTCAGAAAACGAGAGCCCGACATTGTTTTTTGAACTTGCCCTGCAAATCTACACGAGCCTTCTTCTGCTCATAGGACTACCGGGCAATGCGATTAGTGGCTACATTATGGCCAACGACCGTACAAATCGAGTCACCACGCGGATTCTGATGGTTATTATTGCAGCAGCAGATACTGCTGTCCTCCTCACAGCAGTCACTCGCTACTGGGCTCTAGAAGTGCTGAACACTGATTTTCGAAACTATTCTGACTGGATTTGCAAGACGCACGTTTTTGCCGTAGCCTTCTTCACAGACTTTGCCGTTGGTGCTTTGTGTGCTGTGGCTGTGGAACGATTTCTCGTTGTCGCCTTCCCTCAACGAGCCAACGCCGTTGCCTCGACACTAACTGTCACCACAGGAATGCTCGCGTTTGCAGTCATATTGTCAGCCAAAAACGGCATCCACTTCCTCATAATGGGTCTGCGACGCATGACAACAGAACAGAATGTGACTGTTTTCGTATGCACACCCGACGAAGACTACACGAAGTGGACTAGGCTCTTTATGAAGATCGACTTTATCAGCTTCGCTATTCTGCCTTATGTCATTTTGTTTTCATGCAACTTGTACATATTTTGTGTGCTGAGAAGACAGCGCAAACTCCTTTCTGCTGCAATTAACCAAAGACAAAGACAGAAGGTCCTTCTTGTGGCAAACTTAGGCTCCGATTCTTTAACCCTTCCAACAACCTCTCCCGATATTGAAGAGAGCGGTAGTCGCACTAGAGACTTTCGGGCTAGTTCTCGATGTGGAAGTCAAGCAAAATCAATTTTGGGCAGTGGTTCTTCCAAACCTGAAAGAAAAAAACGGAAACCCGAGGATGTAATAAAAGTGCTCACAGCATTAACGGTAGTCCATGTGGTTTGCACGCTTCCGGGAACCATTTTTACTCTTCTTACTGAGTACATGGACTTAAAGAGGCAGAAGCCGACAAAGTACGTGCTTGTGATGCTAATTTTCACCAACAATGCAATCAACTTTTTCGCTTACTTGGCCTCAAGTGAGCGCTTCCGAAGTCAGTTCGCCAATCTGTTCTCCTGTGGCCGCGCTACTCGACGATAACAGTACTGAAAAGCAAACAACTCCAACAGGTCAAGCGTTTTCCCTCTTTATTTTCTATAAGCGAACAGAATCCTTGTTTGAGATGCTTCATTGGGAGCACTGACGAACTCATGAAACAGTGCTTATATTTCTAAAAAATATGGCACTTCACCATTTAAGCAGTTTAAGGCTTATGCAAATTTACTTGTAAAAAGCCCTTTTCTAGGTCCAGTGAGGCAGAATGAAAGCATAATAAACAACCTCGATTTTTCTTTTTGACTATTTTGTGCATCACATATACAATCTTGGTTGTGCTTTTGCTGAATAATATACCAGGTAATATTAACTACAGGGAAGCTGCAAATGATTCAATTCGTCAAACATGTGTATTATAGGATCGGTTGAACCAGTGCAAAGAGCAAAGAAAAATGGTCTCCGATGCAGTTTAGTTTGGAGTAAGGGCCTCTCTCATAAACTAGAAAAAAAGAGTGAGCAGACTGATAGTTAAACTCGGGCCAAACCAACGAAAATTTAAGCCTCCTGAAGAAAAGAAAATGCATTCTTAAGTTGTTTTGCAGCGAGGTATAAATTAATCACTAAAGACAGTAGTCTTTTTTCGAGTATTTATGTAAAATATATTTATTTTGAACTTGGTGGCTTATATCACATTTATTCTGGTCCTCAATACATGGTCTTGTTAGTAAGAGTAAACATTTTTCTAGTTTCTTCTAGTCACTATAAAATAAAGCAACTTGAGAAAGCTCCATTGCTATACCTCTCGATTTAAAAAACCTCTATTTTGTCAACCTCTACATATTGTCAATATTCATGCTTCAAATTACCTTTTCTCTATGGCAGAAATTTTTAAATGTGTACATAATTGGACATACACAAAAATAGTTCTTTTTTATCTAATAGAGCGAGTATAATGAATAAAACCTGGAGCTAGTATTTCTACACCATCCTTAACAAAGGTTTGGTATTTGCTTTTTTATATTTTGTTGCCATTTTTCTACTTTAAATGCCAAAGAGTAAAAAACAGTTTAAATGTGTCCAAACACTGGCTACACTTTACAAACATAGTATAAGAACATCATTTTCACGTAGACTTTTTAAAAATAGAACTTAATTTTTAGTAAAATATTCTGAATATTTTTATCAAATGTGTTGTCATGAACTTAGACTTCGACGTAAAATCCTATTTGCTAACTTTTTTAAACAGGTATTTTAAATTGTGGTGGTTTACTACAAGGGCAATTATAATGCGCAACCTTTCTGGAACTCTACAGCCTGAGTTTGCATGAATATCATTTTGCATTGGGAACTATTTGGTCCATGTCTTGTAGTTCAGTCTGGTACAACGTTTACGCACAAATTGATATTGTGTAAATTGCGCAATCCGAGCACAACGTACAGAAATATGCTAATCCTACATAACTGAATCTTCCTTTGTCAAAAATTAGATCGTCTTTTAAAGATTGAGTTTATAACATATCCTGTATTCGCGCATTAGAGTTCTTTTTTTAAACATGCTTACTCTAAACGTCTATGTTTTCAGTAAGGTTTAACATAAGACATCAACATCAAAGGGTTTTTCAGTCTCTGCTTCATTGAAAACTTTCCTATCAGCGATTTAGTCACAACCTGAAATTTGCACCTACTGAAATTAGAACTGTACAAATATAACTCGCGTAGGCAAGTACAAGGATTTTGTGAGTTTACTTGCAATAACATGGAATCCACCCACCAGCAACTGATGATTTTGACTTGCACCATTACCGAGATACCAATGACACATATTAGAAACAAAGATGGCCCTGCTAACGGTTGTCTTAAGAACAGATTTTCAGGAGGCTCTACATGCATCCCTCAGGGCGAGACTTGGAAGAGTAACCTGGCCAACTGAGCGTTACCATAGAATTGTCTACAGTTTCAATTCTGGATTTTTTTGAATTCGTTCCAGAAGGCTAGTGCGAAATTTTTCTTGAAAATTTCCACATCTGATTAGAAACGACTTCAAAGTACATGGTAATTTTTAGAAGTAAAAAAGAATTGCTTTCAGACTGATTAAAGCGTAAGGTTCGATGAGGCGGGTAGCATCCATGGCTAGATTTCAATTAATTTATTTCGAATTCCAAGTAATTAATCGTAAAATAACAATATACATGCAAATGATATAAAGTATTTAGCTGTTTTAAGTTATGCATTCAATGGTACAACGTTGAGGCAAAAATAGTCAACATTGAATGCATTGACGGACGCACTAGAGTAAGCACATAGTAGATAATTCTGCGTTGCACGCCATTTCAAAATCACGCGTCTAATTTGACTTTTGTTAGTCGAAAGCTATATTTAAATTCACTTTAGAACCTTATAGATGCCTTCTAACATGAAGGAAAAATGTCGGTTGTATTTAAAAAACGCGTATTTACAAATTGGATCACTTAAATAACAAAAACAGCCCGATTTCATGACCTGAGATTAAAATGGCCCTTAGGAATTAAAATCGCAGATTAAATTACCGAATGACTAGTTTAATTCTAGTCGGAATTGAGACTACCCTCGTCATGAACTAGCACCTTGGCCACAGGCATTTTATAATAATTAAAGATTTGTGGTAAAGCTTTTCTCTTTTACCAATCTGTGTCAAATTCTAATCTTTTTACAGGCTCTTGATGCATTTCAATGAAGGAACTAAAACAGATTTGGAAACCATGGTAAATTTCGTGCTAAAGGGGTTTCGTAGTTAAAAAGGTCCAGCTACATATTATTCTCTATATTTTCTGTGTTAAAGTAAGTACAATTTGCCGTAAGTTAAAAGAGAGCACATATCGTCATGAAAAAATGTCACAAACGCCAGTTGTGGGGAGTACTAAAATATTCTCAAGTTGGTTTAAATAAACAGTATAGCAGAATTTGAAAAGAACTTCCTTCAGCAAATGTTTTTTGTATATTGGCATCACAGGGTTCGAACTTATGCCTAATAGGGTCCATCTACCTGTTTCCCAGGTCCTCCTTCTTTATGACATATAAAATCAGCACCAACACTTTGTATTAGAATGGATTAGTAACTAACCTTTTACTTTTTTATTTTTGTGCCTTGACCTTACAAATGGTTTTTTCTAAATTTCGCTCAAAGGAAGCAAACAAACACGATTTGCACCCTGATTACTCTTTAGAAAAAAATCATTTCTCTCTTAGGCTAGAAGCAAAAGCAGTCATTTGATCAACTCCTTGACAAACTAAATTTAAACGTCATTGACTTGTCAAAAGGTGCATGATCACCTGAGCACATAGATGTTTTACAAATGAATGATTCAGCACCTTGTCTCCCAATATATAGTTAATTCGAATGATCATCGTTTCTTACAGGTTACATTGGAATAATTTACAAGAGTGTCAGTGGCTGCATCGTATTCTGTTGCAACCTATTTACCCTGTCAAAGTCTTTGGCTGATAAGCATCGGGAGACAGTTAAATTTTGGCCGAATAACCCGGGGCAAAAGGAGAAATTTAACCACCTGAAGCCATGCCTGTTAATAGGTGTGAACTTTAGCACTCAACTTCGTTCCGTTTTCATGTCCTTCTGGCTCTGGAATTAATGTCTGTCCTTATGCAGAATTTTCGTCAAGCCAATTTTGTTTGTGTTATGTAATTGGATTTTAAACGTATTTAAGTGTGTTTTAGGTTCCTGTCCTTTGCACTTCTTTTTTAATTTCATGCTGCTAATTGTGCCTCAAAAAGAAAGTGAGTTAAATCAGTTTCGAAAAATCGGAAAATATAAATTAAAGGAATGAACCAATTGGGAGCTAATTTGATTATGAAGATCCAAAGATTCTGATTTAAATAAATTGGCACGGCTTCCTATTCAATTTCAAAGACTTTCATGATAAATTTTTAATAATTTAATTATGAATTTCCTTTGTAGTTGCTGACGGTAGAAATACGAGATGGAAGATAATAAGCCCTGTTTTTATGCTTAGGTTTAAACTTTGTTATAAGGCTAATGGGCTCTGAGCTAACGTTTGTGCACACTACCTTAGAAGAACGCCCTTACCATTTACTTATTTAATTGATTTAGGTGTTGTTTTAAATCTGATCCTCACAATTCGTTCATTGAAAATGCCACTTAAACTTGCCGAAGGCAGTAAGACTTGTAGACATGCATTTGACGTTATAGTGCATTGATTGCTTTTAGGATAAAACACAGGCGTTGTTACATGTTTCCAATCGTCGTCTATTCTCATTTAATTTGGCGTGTTTTTCGATCGTGGGACTCAGGCTTGTTGTAAAACGATGTTGCTTACAACGCCATTTTAAAAAATCTCTTCAGAGTAATGAAAGTCTAGTGCTCAGCCTCTATTTACAAAGCAAAGCAAATTAAAACTTTTCAGTACTTGCCAAACGACTTTGGACATGTCTGGAATTTTATTTATTAATGCAATTAAGCAGTCTTACCATTTATGCTAGTCTTCGAAACCATTCGCTGGACACACTCATTAAACTGAATTCGAATCGCCACATAACCCAGAGCCAAATAAATCAGATACCTAGTAACCTCAGCAAAAGATGGCATTCAACTGCGTGGTTATGCTCAGTTCAGATTCTTAAAAAATATCTCGCAGAAGGTTGCCAATTTCATTTCACAACGCAGCTCCACTCTTTTTATTACTCCGACCTGTTGGTCCACCCAGTGCCGCTACTGTGAGCTTTTCGCAACGGTTGAATTAATTAATAGCAAAATTCAGATGCTGACAAAATACATTTTCAGTGTTCAGTAAATTAATTTTGTTAGAAATGTACGTGTTGCTGATGCAAATATCTCCGACCAGGGTCGACAGAATACGATGGATCAAACTGCTTGCTGTTTTATACACCTAGTTTCGGGGTGATATTGCTTTAATGAAGCAGATAAAGACGCTTTATTCATCACCACTAAAACATTTTATATTTTACATTCTTTTTTAATCTGTTTCAAAACGTAATTCTACTTGAATATATAATGCAATTTAGTTTTTAAA